GGCACATGGAACTGAACAGTCTACCCCAGTGAGTTAAAAGGTTCAGTTCGACATTCCAACCACCTGAAGAAGGCCGGATAGCAATAAACGTAAACGCTGTGATAAATATGGTGATGAAGATGAGGACAATAGTCCAATAATGTACATAATATTTCATCTCAGAAATATAGACAGACTCAGAATTTTTATTCTTGGTATGTCTTTTACATCCTGTAAAAGATTATATTTCAACTTCTGTTATAAATTAGTTTTATTTTTGATTTGTACTTATTTCTTATTTGCAAAGATTTACATTTCATTGAATACATCACTCAAGGTGCGTTTTAGTTTTGTTATACAATTTCTCATGCGATATAATAATGTTTTTCTTTTCAGATGATAAATTATATAAAAACTGATGTTCTTTTTATCTGAGTGCTTTCGGCTATACATTTAGCCATTTTCAAGGATGAGAAATTGTATAAAAAAACTAAATAAAAGCACCTTGTCTGTCGTATTCAATGAAATGTGCATGAAAGAGGGATTGCTGCCTAAATACACACACACACACACACACACACACGTGTGTGTGTGTGGGGAAAAAGTCTTACATTATAGCATTTTTATTTCTTTCAAAGATTTTGTCTCTAATTCGGTTAGAAAATATAGAAGAATGACTAGGTATGATATAAAAGACAAAAGGTGCCAAAAATAGAGGTGTCGGAGTTGAAGATTTTGTGTTCTGACTTCAGTTACATGTCTGCAATTTGAGTTTGGTCTGAAATCATTGAAACTGGGTCATAAATCATGGCTAATTGCATCTATGAAATCTAAGTGTCAGGCTAAGTGTTAAACAACATAAAACTTGGACAACTGAAGACTGGAGAAAAGTTATGTTTTTTGGATGAATCTACTTTGCATCAGTTTATTATGCATAAGAAACATTAGAAGATTCCTTGGTAAGAGATTTGATGAAAAGTATACAATTCAGACTATAAAGCTCCTGCCAAGCCAGATGATTTGGTTGGCACCATGTCCAAATCTGGAACAGCTTTAATCATTGCCTTCCAAGATCAATGAAAAATGGTGCAAGGTATGTGGAACTATTGCAGAAGAAACTGGAACTGTATATATGCAGTCATGAGTGCACATTATTTATGCATAATGGTACTCCATGCCAACAGTCAAAGGTAGTTTAGAATTTTTTAAACAGGATCAACAATATCTCTATATTTCTGAAATGAGGTATTATGTACACTATTTACATTATATGGACTATTGTCCTCATCTTTGTCGCCATGTTTATCACAACATTTGTAACTGACAGCCATTAAACATGGTAAGTGGAACTAGAACAGTCTACCCCAGTGAGCAAAATAAAGGGTTCAGTTTGACATTTCAACTACCTGAAGAAGGCGGGAGTGCATAAAGACAAAGATGAGGACAATAGTCCGAATAATGTAAATAGGATCAACAATACTGGACTGGTCAGGGAACAGCCCAGATCTGAACCAAATTAAAAATTTATGGGGAACCATCAAAAGTATAGAGGCTATTAAAGTAGTTTGGACAAAAGAAATCCCAGTTGATTATTGTAACAACTTGATTCTCATCATACCCTGTTGAATCTATGCAGTAATTAAAAACAAAGTAGCTCATAGAAAATACTGACCGCTGGACTTGAAATGAATAGAGAATATAGTGATGTACAAATTCATCAGTAAAATTGAATCCATCTCTCATAAATTTTTGGCGTAAAATTACAAGTTGGTCTTGAACTTTTGTTAATCACACACACACACACACACACACACACACACACATTGTGTGAACATCCCCGTAGAAGCAAGTGAGCCAGAGTGGTTTGTATCTGGTGTATATCAAAATAAGGCTCTTACCTTAATGATCGGCAAAATGGCATTACTCTCCCGTCTAGCACTATATTGCAACAAGGGTTTTGTACAGTTTAATATGCTTCCACCAATAGCAAGTTGTGTGCTGATTGATTGAACTGGAGGAATATTTGCCTGGGTAACGGAGAATAAAAGTGAAGAACGCTGATTGGTTGGTCGACTGCAGTGATGGCCTGATAAAAGAGGGCTGAAGCAGTGAAAATGGGAAAAGAAAAGACGGATATACGTTGTAATGCGTTCAGAAAGCAAGAACGGCAAATTGAATCGGGTATCTTGATTAGTACAAGTGACGTAGCAATACAAACTTATTTAATCTATCTATCTATCTATCTAATATATATATATATATATATATATATATATATATATATATATATATATATATATATGTCAAACCTCTCATCAATGGACTAATAGGAGGGATGGGTGGTCCATTAATACTGATTGTCTGTAGATGGGAAGGGATTGTTTGAGTTATAAAACTACTACTGTCATAATGTAAGTACTATAAACAAGGATATATGTATACTTCATAGATATTATTCAAAATAACAAAAATACATTTCTCATAGCTATTTTCTCACATATGCGCTAATGTATCGTACTTTATATACTGTACACTTGTCTTTGTTTACAATTGAAAGGCCAGTCACTGCTGCTCAGTAGTCACTTTGAAAACTAATAAGACTTGTACCCCTTACCCTGCATATTTTGAAATATGTCGCTGACGATTTGGAAGTCCGACGCATAACTTTTTTATTCTGCCTGCAGATTTTGTCCATTGCAATCGATGGGCATGAAGGGGGAGGGGCACCTGTTGATGAGAGGTTCGTATATATATATATATATATATATATATATAATGTATGTTTGTTAGTTATGTGTCATGCGTGATACATACTTAGGTGATCATGTATCATTCAATACATGGCTGACGAGGCAGATTTTTTTCCTGCAGTAGGTTGGCATTTCTTTCTGCAGTAGACTAGTTGCCATCCAAAGCTGTAAAACTTGATCTCTCCTGCTATTTACCCATAGCTGGGGGGAGAAGAAGAGGATTCATACCTTTCCCAAGGGTATTAGCACATAAGTGAATGTAATGGATTCCATAGTCAAAAATTATTCACACTTTCACCATAACATAAATAACGGTAATGGCTAGTGTGGATAATTTTTTATTTTTTCCTCATATATGAATTTTATATTTCACCTCTGCATATTTGATGTAAGCAACATAGTGTGTTGAGTTTAATTGGAATTCATCTTATGTGATCTCTCTTGCTTGATTGTAACAAGTAAAAAAAGGTATTATTTGCACAAGGCTCATTTCCACTTGATTCTGTGCTTGGAATTTGTGTGAGTTGGGGATAGCATTCATTCTCTTCAGTTCAGTAAGTCCAGTTGTATGACAATTTCTTAACTGGTCCAACTTGTTTGAGTTTCATCACCCAACTGGCTTATGTTGATCTTTTCACGCTCAATGTTTGTACTTGGTCATGTGATTCTGCGCATGTGTGAGAATCTATTTTTTAGCCTCTGCTCAGACCTGCTGCTGGAGTTCAGTCCATCTGACCTGATTGCTTTTGTAGTCATCAGCTACTATTACATATTTAGGGATAGAGAAGGCACCTCGACCTGGTGTAATGGTCTCGCTAGATCAGTTATGACTGAAAAGTCAGTTCGATCCTCACTAGGTGCTCCATACTTTCAGCCTTATGCCACATTTAAGCTACGCTTAGAAAATAGCCATATTTAAAGAGGGTGTTTTCACACACACATATATATATATATATATATATATATATATATATATATATATATATATATATATATATATATATATATATATATATATTATTTTTATTTTCGGATATTAAAACAAAAAGTTTAAAAATTGCTACACAATTACAATTATATTTCAACACTGCAAATGTGTCTCCTTGGGCGATGTTAAACTACTGGCAAGTGAATAATTATTTTAATTTCAAAAAACAGAATACTTCCTCTTTTTTTTCTCCAGGAAAAAAAAAAACAATTAAAAATAGGCTTGTGGGCATAACTGTGATTAACTTTGAATGTGACCTAAATTCAAACTCACCGAGAAAAATTAAAAAAAAGAAAAATTGTTATATAGGTCATGACACGAAGTTGTCTGCATGTAAATCCTAGACAATTTCATTATGGACAGATACAAATTGTTACATTATTTTGTAAGATGTATATATGTCTAGTGTTCAACTTTTCTGAGAAGTGAAAGAGGTAGAGAGGTAATTCAACATAATGCTAACTAGTTATATGCTCGGTCAGCTACCTACATAAAAATTTGTAGTTGATAAATAGAAGGCCCCCCTCCTTAAGAAACTGGTAAATGACTTAACCATTTGAAGAAAAAAAAAACAAAACAGATCATCAATACAAAACTACTTGGGCAAATTAATATGCAACTGTTAAGATGTTAACAATACTAACCAATCAATGTAATAATAATAACTAAACACCTGTACATCCATATAAGATGTTAATAATACTAACTAATCAATGCAAGAATATCACAAAAATAAAAATGAGAAATTTTTATTTTTGTGGTGTTCTTGATCTAATAATTGTTCATTGAATGAAACCATGCTTATTATTGTTTAGCTAGCCATAATTCATTTTTATATTATCACAAAGAAAGACATCCTTTCTTATTTTTTTATATTTTTATTCTGAAAGGTTTTTGCGAGTCAAAACACTAACAAAAACAGTGAATCAACCAAAAATTTCAGCCCTCGGTGAACTTTGTGACAATGATGACAACGCAGATGATCTCCTTGGATTGTGTTCTGGAAAATTCTCTGGTAAGTTTTTTTTTTATTATTTTTCCAATCCTGGAACTTGTTTATGGATTGAAAACATTACTATGCCACTTAACATCTTGTTTAACTGTCGAATGAAAACTCGAGTTTATGTAAGATTTGGTATCTATCAAGGTCACTGGAAAGTTAGGAATGTCTGTTTGTCCCAGTGTTGAATAAATGTTTGTGTTGTGAGACCAATTATGAAAAAAAAAGTATGGGCAACTTGGTGTAGGGAGCTACTCTGTTTGACTATTATAACTGAGTAATGAATTTGATCCTCATTGGGTACCTCATACCTGCAGCTTTGTATCAAAATTTAGCCAAGCTTGGTAAATAACATTTCCAGGTTTCTCAATTTTGGGTAATGGTTAGTATGCTTCTTTGGTTGGTTACTTAGTAATGAACTTGATCCTCACTGGGTACATTTTATTGGTGGCCTTATGCCAAATCTAAGCTAAAAGCAAAGTGATTACTTACATTATTTACATTATTCGGATTTTTATCCTCGTCTTCATTGTCATATTTGCAATGTTTCGGCCATTATATGCTCCAGCCTTCTTCAGGTGATTGGAATTTCGAACCGAACCCTTTATTTTGTCCACCAGGGTAGATTGTTCTAATTCCATGTGCCATGCCTCTTCTGGATGTCTCAGTTATTTCCCTTTAACTCTCCAAGTTTTGGTTCACCACTGCTGTAGCTAGGTATTGAACTCACAACTCTGGACACATGGCCCAGTGGATAAAGATGTTGGCTAGATCCAGTAACTAGACTCAAGGAGTTGTGAGTTCAATACCAGGCCACAGGAGAAAGGGAAATAACAGACATTCAGAAAAGGCATGGCACATGGAACTAGAACAATCTACCTCAGTGGATGAAATAAAAGGTATGGTTTGAAATTCCAATCATCTGAAGAATGACGGAGTGTACAATGTTGCGAATATGGCAATGAAGATGAGGATAACAGTCTGACTAATGTAAGTAATCATAATACCTCATCTTAGAGATATAGACTGATGCTGTTACCACAATGTTTGAAACAATCTATTCTTCAGCCTTCTGTAGGCGTATAAAGAAACCTTTGGTAATTTTAACCACTGTTTGATTTAGGTTGTGTTTCTCCTTCAAATGGGAGATGCCGATTCAAACCCTGATGGTATAGCATATTTTCATGAAAGTGGAGGCAGGTAATTTACACTGTTTATAAAAATAAGGCTACGACTTAAACATGTGTATCTACTAAATAATATTTGGTTTAGTAGCAGATATATATGATTATAAGGCTCTTTTGATCTTTATTCATTTCTACCAAACTCTCAGTTCTGTCTGGAATCATTTTCAAGATGAGGAACCAGTGGGCAAAAGTCTTACCCAACAACTTTTGTTGCTTTTTCTTTTGCTTTTGTTCAATCGAAAGTTTGGGAGAAATTAAAGTCCCAGAGAGCATCATAATCTCCAGTGTGTGGATGTCTATGTATGTATGTAGGCTTGCTTGCTTGATTGTGTGTTTTTATGTTTATGTGTGTCTGTCTCTGTGTTTCTGCATGTTTATGGGTGTGTGTGTGTCTCTCTCTCACTAACTCACTCACACACACTATTTATTCTATGAGATTAAAATAAAAATCGCTACACAATAGCTTTCATGTTTCAGCACTCAAAATGTTTCCTCAGGTGATAGTAAATAACTGGTGGGTAAAAAAATTATTTTTTAGCATAGGTCTGACACTTAATTGGTTAATCAAGGTAAACTCACAAGCCTCATTTTAATTTTGTTTTGTTATTTGCTTTTAAAATTTAATATTTTACTCACCAATTATATTAGCAATATAATAAATAATATTAAACTCTGTATTGAACCCTTTTTTAAAAATTAAATGCTACAGACAATGGAATTATACTCCATTTGTTCTTATCCCATATCTGACATATATATATATATATATATATATATATATATTATTATAAATTAATTGATTTAAAATATGTTTTTTTTTGTCCAACCATGTTTCAAAAATAGAAGCTAAAAACCCCGAATTTAATTTTGCAATTAAATTAAAGCATTAGTTCCATTTCATCTTCAAGCGAATTGCTTGAAGATGAAATGGAACTAATGCTTTTAATTTAATTGCAAAATTAAATTCGGGTTTTAGCTTCTATTTTTGAAACATGGTTGGAACTGTGTAAAAAAAAACCATATTTTAAATCAATTAATTTATAATAGTAATGCTCTGTAAATTTACATTGAGCACTATTTTGTAAAAATAAAAATATCTATAAGAACACCGGATTTTATATCTTACTGTTCTTTCTTTTTATTTTTATTTATATATATATATATATCTATATATATATATATTATGAAATGGACAAAGTCCGACAATTATTCTAAGACATTTTTTTGTTTATACATTTTTTTATAGATACAACTATTTAAGTAAATGTTGTTTAATACTGTTTATTATAAACAGAGCATTTACTTAAATATTTGTATCTAAAAAAGAATGTATGAACATAAAAATGTCTTAAAATATGTGTGTGTGTGTGTGCGCAGATATGTAAAAAAAATAGGAAAGAACACGCTAGGTAAATAATCCGGAGATCTTTAGTATTTTTTTTTTTTTTTTTTTTTTTAAACAGTGCTCCATACAGAAGTAGAGCATAAATTATAATTATTTTTTAAAAAATATGATTCCTTCACTACATAAGAGTTCTTTTTTTCCAAAAACAAGAACCGAAAACCTCAATATAATTATTGAAATTAAATTGAACTAAAGTATCAAGCCCTGTTTCATCCTCAGGTGAAAATTTAGGAATAACAAATCTTGAAATTTACACATCTTTACAAGCATGTCCATTCGCAAAATTAATTACTATGAAAACGGCTGGGGTGACCATTTTCATAAAGGGCCTAAGAGTTAATTTGTATCCATATATCACTCACCTTTGGAAAGCGGTCAAGCTGAGGTAGGGCCAGGGTGTCCATTTCAAAGCAAATGATGGCATTCATGTACGCACATCGTCTGGTCAGTCACAGCGAAAGATAGCTGTTGGCACCCCAATACATCATTAAGTGTCTAGAGAATTTTATTTATTTATTTTTTCTTCTTAAAGGGTTGTTTCGTACATAAATGCGTTGCACTGAACTACAATTTGTTTTTTTTTTTGGTTAAAGTAAATGTAATTTCTGTTAATATCTTCAGGTTCTCAAGATGACAGGATGAAATCTTGTCGAACTCTCTTCACTGAGTCTCAGTCTAACTCTCAATTCCCTGCAAGGTAAGTAGTCTATAATTATAAAGTTAGTGTCTCTCTAGAACAGTTGTTGCCAGTGACCATTTAATGAATAAAGCACAAAATGTCTAAATATGTCTCGGTCGTCATACTGTCAATAAAATATTTAACCATTTTAAAACTTTTTGAATGGTTGAAACTAATTAAAAATGTTGAAAAAAAAAAATGAAATGATGAAACTGCAACATTAAATGTGTATAAGCAAGAGTAAATTTAAAAAAAAAAAAAAGCATTTAATCTTAAAAAAAATTGCTGATTTTAATTTGGGTTGAATTTTGGAAAGCTTCAACTGATTTATATATTATAATTTTTGAAAAAAGTGGAGTGATGTAATTATTAACTAAAGTTTCCTTTCTTCTGTTGTGTAAAATGTCAAGATTTTCTTCAAAGCTGATTATCGTAAAACAATTCGGCAATTTTGGACTGTCATGACCACAAAAAATATGTTAAAAGGATAGTTTTTCCCTTGACACAGATAATAATTTAAACTACATTCGCTTTGCAGCAATGTTTATTGTTTGAAAAAGTGATGAGTAAAATTGTAATAAAACCTAAACATGATGAAATTGAATCTATAATTTTTCTTTTTGGTTCTTGAGAATTCACAGCAAAAATATTAAACACTATTATTAGATCTTTTTTTTTTTTTTTTTTTTTTTTACATGAATATTTTATATTTACAACATTCTAAAAAGTAATTCAATTAAAACTAATGCAATATTTATGATTTACCAGTTTATAAAGAAGTAAATATGAAAACAATTTTTCATTCATAAATTTATAAATATTTACTAAATTATTAAAATATGTGAACTGACTATAAGGAAATCCTTATTTTGTAAAGTTCAAATTGATTAACAATTAGCTGATATTTTGCCAACCTTTGCAATAAACAATAGTGTAAATAAACAGTCTAATAAATAGTGTTTATTATTATTTTTGTTGTCAGTACTCAAAAACAAAGAAAATGTATAAATTCACTTTCATATGTTTAGGTTTTATTACAATTCTAATCATTGCTTTTTAAAACAAACATTGCTGAGGAGTAAAGTTAGTTTAAATAATAGAAATGTCAAAGGAAAAAAAACCTTCCTTTTGACACTAACTGCATTTTTTTTTTTTTTTTTTTTTTTTTACCAAAGGTCCAACAATTCTTATTGATGGGGGTTCAGGGTTTTAATCAGAATTAAGTTACTAAAAACTGATTCAGTTGTTAAAGTCCAAGTAAAGTGTAATGAAGAGATAATGAAATTGAACATAGAATAGGCTGTGCAAGGACTAGTTACACACAAAACTGCAAGTTGCTGCAAAACCAAAACATTAAAAACTTGAAAATGATTGGATGGAACATATACAAATTTACTTGGAAAAATCCAGAAGATCATTTGGAGATCCCATGCAACATTTAACAAAATTCATGGATAACTGAGATCAATCTCTCTTAAGCTCAAACAAAAATGATTATGGTTTGCCAGCCACTGCCACCGAGTGGAGAGGGAAGTCTCCTCATTATTTCTAGGGCATCTTCTGGAAGTGTCTTTGCATAAAAATTGACCTTTCTTGGACACCATAGCTCAGGACTCGGGGTTGGATATTGGGGACCTGGGGAACAGCAATGCAGGACCAAACAGTGTGGAAAGGGATTGTCAATGGAGTTCCGACTAACCACAGAGGGATCGAACGATGATGACGATAAAGAAATATGAAGCAATAAAAGAGAGATTGAAAGAGAAAGAAAGAGATATAAAGCAATAAATGAGAGAGATGGAGATGGAGATGAATTTGCCGGCCACTGCTAACGAATGGACAGGGAAATCTTCCCATCTTTATTCCTATGGCATACTTCTGGAAGTGTCTTCTCACAAAAATTGACTTTCCCAGACACCATAGCTTGGTACTCAGGGTTGGACATTGGGTTTCTGGGGACAGCAATGGAGGACCGAACAGTGTGGAAAGGGATTATCAATGGAGTTCCAACCAACCATAGGGAGGTCGAAGAATGATGATGATGATGAAGCAATAAAAGAGATTGAAAGAGAATGAAAAAGATATAAAGCAATAAAAGGAAGGAAGGAAGTGAGTGAAGGAGTGAGTGAGTGAGTTTGCCGGCCACTGTCGCGGTGTGGGCAGAGAAATCATCCCATCCTTATTCCTATGGCATACTTCTGGAAGTGTCTTCTCACGAAAATTGACTTTCCTAGACACCATAATTCGGGACTCAGGGTTGGACATTGTGAATCTGGGGACAGTAATGCAGGACCGAACAGTGTGGAAAGGGATTGTCAATGGTGTTCTGACCAACCATAGGAAGGTCGAAGGATGATGATGAAAACCGTAACCTAATAACTCTCATCCTGTTCTTAAATGGCTTAATCAGATTGAGACTTTTATATGAATGCAATGCATGGCAACAAACGCGCTAAGAAATATCTAAACTGTCAGGTGCATACAAATGCTTTCTCAGACCAATAATTAAAAATGTCTTTGACTCAGTGAAGCATGTAGATCTCAGCTAGGACCATTCTTCATTAGACTTTGTGAAATGGTGCTACAGAAGCAAGCACTCATTGCCACTTTTGTGATGCCAACGAATATTCGTTGTCACTTTCATAATGCTTGTTGTAGTATAGACTTTGTAATCGCAGATACCACAATAGTATGCTGTTAAACATTACTGGTGTCAGATGCCTTCGAATATCACCTGCACTAATAGTACTGTAGCAGACCGTGGGTTTACATGTTAAATTAGGAACATGTGTGTGACTCCTGATAGAATAAAGTCCACTACAAGAATATAGCAGACTCAAGTTGAGTCCAACCAAAAAAAATGTAAAGAAAACAAAGAAGACCGATATATATGTACAAACAAGTATATGTATTAAACAACAGAATTTACAATGGACAAAGACATTAATGTGTGTGTTTGTGCATGAACGTAAAGAGTCTGTTTCAATGAATGTTCATATGTACGTGTATGTGTGTGTTTCTGTGTTTCATGTCATTTTCCCACGAGTGGACAAAACGCAAATCTCCACGAGAGATCACATTTTTAAATGTGTCTGCAGAAATGCAAAGTAAAAAAGAGGACTAGGCAGGTTCTCACCACATATATATATATATATATATATATATATATATATATATATATATATATATATACTCGGGAGAGTGTGCCCTAGTGAACACTTTGGACAATTAGGAAATTAAGGAAGAGTTAACTCTGACAGTACTTGCTTGGTAATACTCGCTTGGAAGTAACCACTGTATAATCAGAAAAGAGAAATAGTATAGTGAATAGAGTAGGGATAGCGATCCGAATAGTAATAGGGGACAGACAGAGTAGGGATAGCGATCCGAATAGTAATAGGGGACAGACAGAGTAGGAATGGATATCAATCAGACATCATGTGACTTCTTATGTGTTCCCCTATGGTCACATGATCTACTTAATTCAATAATGGGATCGCCTTTGTTTGCTCTCTGTCAATTTACGTTCAAACTCAAGTGTTTGCAGCAACACTTTATTCCTATATAACAAGAATCATAAGCAAAGAACTGAACCAGATAACAGAAACTGCATCACTTGAGGACTTTCAATAGCAGCAACAACTAAAATGGATAGCACATGTGACTTTAAGAGAGAATGACATAATCAAGATGCTGACATTCCATTCCACACATCCCCACAAACAGAAGGAAGGAAGGAGACCCCCATTAATAATGGAAAGAGCAACAGCTACTGGACTTGAGAAACCTATTTTCCTCAAAAACTGTTTTATAAATTTCAACCGACAACAGCACTGGCTGCTTTCTTGATGAATGCTGAACGTTTCTTTATAAGGAAATGGCTAATACTAGCAGTAGAGATGAGAACAGATACTACATTTTGATCTCAGCTTGATGGCCAGTGAATCAAAAAAGAAAATACCTCAAGTAGCATTGATTGATTGGTCAATGAATTCCAAATGTTTCCTTATAATACTATTACCATTACCACATAACTTTTTATGAAAAAATGGTGGTAAAAACAAATTTGTGGCAGTTTGTTCCAAGAAGGAAGTTCTTCAGAAGGAATAATTGTGTGCTGAAGATTTTTTTCCAGTTGCTGTCTGTGAGTAACAAGGAAGTTTTAGGGAAAATAGAAATAAAAAGGACACTTATACTTAGAATCAGAAAGAGACAAGCATCAGAGATGTGGTTCTACAGAAGAAGGCTGAGAATACCATGGATGGAGTATGTGAGCAATGAGGAAGTTTTAAGGAAAATGGAAACAAAAAGGACACTTATATTTAAATTCAGAAAGAGAAAATTGAAATTTCTAGCACACAAAAAATGATCAATTTTTAAAAATTTGTTGTTTTTTTTTTTTTTTTATTATATTAAGCCTTAAAATAATTATAACATTTTTATTGTTCTTGGTAAGAAATAAAATTACTTTTAAAGTTTTCATTATTTTAAGAATTAATTTTACATCTATCATTGAATTAAAATATATATGCACATATGGAAACACAAACACAATTTGCAATAGATATTTGTGTTAGGATTAATGTCTGGGAACAAACCTTGGGTAACAAGAAAAGAGCGTAAGCTGAAATGTACGTCCCTTTGTAAGTCATACAAATGATTCCTTCCATCCTTGAATTGAATAATTTTTTTTTTTTTTTTATAAATAAAAAACTTAGATTTGAATTTCGACCATTTAAATCTCAGACATTTATATAAATATATTATTTGAAGCGCGTACAGGCAGTAAGGGAATAAACTTTAGATTTCATGTAGCAGAATTACCTCCCTTGAAAGATGACGATTAAAAATTCCCGGAGATTGATTATCTGAATATTCTTTTAAAAGAACCAGAAATGGAACCTGATTCTGTAGAAGTTGTATTTTATATATATATATATATATATATATATATATATATAAATTGAAAAAAAAAATTTCAGCTTTTCACTAAAAACAATATTTGTTAATAAGTGGCAAGATTAATGAAAAAGCACTCAGTACAATTTTCCTAAAACAAAAATGTAGAGTAATTTAAGACATAAAATATTTTAAAAATCAACCTTTCTGTTACCATGGTTTTTACCAATCAGATATTGTCAGGCTATATATATATATATATATATATATATATATATATATATATATTGTGTGTATTTAGGTAGCATTTTTTTCATTCATACATGTTTCATTAAATAATGTAGACAAGTTTTGTCCATTTATTTTATGTAAATTCTTTTCATAACGTCTGATAAGCTTAATAATGTTATCATTTTAACGAAGAAAGAAAATCACAATATTGATACATATTTTTTTAATCCAATCTAAGCTTTCAAGCCATTATCAAAGATGACAATTACAGTACAATATATTAAGCAATACACGAACAAGAATGTGATGATGGTCTGTTTATGTTTACATGGATGATTTCCAAGCAACAATGAACACGTGCATATAAGATGCTGGAAGCGAAAATCGCACCGCAGCTTATGATGTCACACATGATCGCGCGAGGGTGAATTCGAGAAGTATTAAGTATGGGAACCCATTGGTATAAATGTTGGTATGAGGAACTTTATCAAGGCAATGTAGAATTTAATTTTTTAATAAAAAAAAAAAAAAATTCTAGAGTATTACTTGCTTATTTCTTTCTTTTTTTTCCCAGACTTTTGCATGACTCTGTGTCCTCAACATGTTTTGACTGACCATTCAACCACCTGATGAATATTCTCAAACTTAAGTCTTAAATGAATGACGTCCTTGCTTTTATACATAAACATGTACAACAAAATAAGTTTTACATTGTCTTAATAAAGTTCCTCAGAGGATGAAACACGTTAGCTAAGAATAGTTTTTCCTCTTGTCTCTTTTTATGTTTGTTCCTTTACAGATACACTTTATCTGAAAATAATTTACACACACACACACACGATGATGGGGCACATTTTAAATGCAAGTATCTTAGATTATAAAAATGACAGTATCAAATATATTTATGACATGACTGATATACAAGAGTTCAACATATTATCTAAGGTATCAATATTACACCCTGGATATGGTCATCACCACAAAAAGAATGTGCACAAGCTTGCTCTCTGATTTCAAATATTCCAATTTCTTTTGTAGTTCACAGCTGTCAACAAAAGAGATATCAGATACCTGTAGGATATATATATATATATATATATATATATATATATATATATATATATATATATGTGCGTGTGTGACAAACTGGAAAGGTTTTTTTTTTTTGTGATGCATTTAATCAGACTGGGCTTTGTTGACGTTGTCATGTCTACACATGCGCATGAAATGAGAGACGCAGATAGTTTCAAAACTATATATCACCATTCTTAGCAGATTTTTATATTGTCACAGTGTGGGATAATCAGGGACAAATTGATGGAAAGAAAAAAATACAGATGAATTTGGCTAGATGTACTTGTGTAAATGTGGCAACGTCAACAAAGCCGTATCCGATGAAATCCTAACGGATGAAGCACATCACAAGAAAACCTTTCCAGTTTGTCATATTTTTCTAAATACTGTTTGTTGATTATATAAAATTATATATCATTATTAAATGCAAATAGGAAATGCTGTTATTTTGGTTACCAATCATAATACTGTATTTGGTTTCAAATAACTTGAAAAATTATCTTCTGAGTCTTGTATGTGAAGTTATCTGCTAGGCTAATGTATTAGATGACTTTTACTGAACCGGACTCTCTTGTAAGATAATATTTAAATGTTAGAATGGGATGAGCAGAGAGGCTTATGTCATCAGATATGATATTTATTTTCAGACACAAGTAGTCAGAATAAATAAATTTCTTTATTTAAAAAAAAAAATGTGAGGGAACTGTTAATAGAAATTTGTCAATGTATTTAAGAAAAACATTTATTTTTTATTTTTTTTTATTTTTATTTTTTTTTATTTTTATTTTATTTAATTTTTTTTCAGTGGCTCTTTCCCTTTTAGTAGTAAAGTAAAATATGATGAAAGGAAAGCAACTGAAGATGAAGAAGAGACTGAAGACTTTCCTAGTTTGAAATTGATATCAGATGATGAAGAAGAGGATGACAAAAAAGAGGAGGATGACGAAAACAGTGAAAATGTATGGCTTTCCATTCTTCAATCTTGTTTCACTTCAAAGAAAGCTATTTTTTAAAATATTTTTATACATTCTTTTAACTAATATTTGTGATATATGAGAAGAACAAACAAAAAATCCTAATATGCGATTATGCTGTTTTAATGTTTAATGTCAACATTGGACGTTTCGGTCTAATAGACCATCTTCAGGACATATTCATAAAACATAATTAACATAGACCATATACAATTCAACATGAAAAAGATGGACATAAAAGCAATACCAATCCAAACAGATAACTGAAATCTTTTGTAAGATCAGCGTTCCGTTTAAATATGATCACGTGGGCGATGTTGTGAAATGTCCGATGTTGACATTAAACATTAAAACAGCAGAATCGCATATTAGGATTTTTGTTTGTTTTTTTTCAGTATATTTTTCTTCATACTGTCGGATCTATATCCATATATTTGCTATATATATATATATATATATATATATATATATATATATATATATACATACATACATGAGCTGTTAGGGGTCTGTAGGTTTTTCAATCAGCTGACTCCAAGTAGATCCCTGCCCTTCTCTTCACTTGTGCTATTGTTTTTGTGATGATCAGTGAAATAACGTATAGCATCTGTTTTAGATTCACTGTTGAGATGTGCAGGAGTAGCGTGCTTTCAATGCATTTCTTTCTCTTTGAATCCTATTCTCTTTTGATCAGATTGTCATTTTTTAAATGTATTACGGTGAACCACCAGTGTGTTCAGATTGTTATGCAGAATACCTCTGTGTTGTTCATATAATCGATATTTTGCCAATGTATATCAATGGGCATTTTGTGCAGTTTATTAGAAGAGCAATAAGACAAGATAACGATTGACATTGCATTTAAATTTTTGAACTTCAAAGTTAACTGGAAAGCATGGAGCTGCAAGAAAGTTCTGCAAGCAAAAAGTGTAAGAAAAGAAACTGTTAGCATAGAACATACAGTTACATCTGCATAATTCAATTGTAAATTGGTAAGACCTTGTTGCTAATCTATTACTGGGCTTAAATTCATCAGGTCTAGATATCATCGCAAAGAGTTCCTCGCAACAGTTACCATGAAAAGTATTTAGAGAAAAAAAAACAGGGGAAACTACTTGGTTTCAGTGAGAAAAAGAAAGAAGATAGATGTGAAGAGAGAAAGAATCAGATTAAGCCAATAAGGGTATATACTACACTTTGATCTCGAACAAAAGATTGAGAAGTGATTGTATCTTCTTGTTGTACCATACTAACAGGATGTGATACAAGGTCAGTTTAATGTGGGGCCAGATTTCAAAATAGTTCAGTTCCTGCACTGGCATAGTTATTAGTACTGATCCCACTTCTTTAATGCAATGAGTGAGTTACTGCCATGGGCAGCTGTTCCCCGAGACTGGGTACCTCTTAATAACATTTTCAGTTGTGTTCTGTCTGACAACAGACACAACTGAGAGATGAAATGTAGCCTAATCACTTGAGGGCAGACACTACACTTTTGCTCCCTGCCAAAAGATCAAGAACTGGTAACCATTGTGATAAAAGTGCAGTTTTTCAGACACACAGTATTGAATGACAGACACTAATTAAGACAGTTGCCAAAAATCCAGTTACCGTAAATAAAATAACATCGTCTGCTGAATTATTTTAAAATTATAAAGAGAAATCTTTGTAAGACGGAAGATTTGGCTTCAGTTAGAAAATGGAAGAAAGAAGAGAAGAAAGAAAAGATAGAAGTGTTTTATAGCTGTTTCAATGAAATGGAAAAAATTTTCAATTCCAAATCTTTTCATTTCTACCCACTTCTTAAAATAACAACCAGCATTCATATCTATGATTGTTATTGCAATATTTTATTAAAGTTGTTAAGTTCAAATATTTAACAATGTACTAGGGGAATTTCTATGGGTATTGTCGTAGAATTTGCTATGAGCTTATTCAATCATTAACTTAAGAATTAAGATTCATCAGAATCACAAAATAGGAAAATCGTGAAATATTCAAGGCTTAAAACTGGTATGAATTGAGTGGTATAATTCTTGGACATTTTTTTTTTTCTTTCATTTTTCACAGGATGAAGATGATGGCACTGAGGAGGAAGAAAGGAGTGAAGAAGATGATGATGACGATGATGACAACAACAACAAAGTATTTCCTAAGTTCAGACTGAAGTCTTCAGGGTAAGTTTCTTTATTCTTTGAAAAAATTAATTATCTGCAAGTGTTGTAGTTTAAGTAACTTTTAGGGTCTTCATTAAACCTTGTTGTGTAATTTGTGCTTTTTTTTATTTATTTATTTTTTTCTAACCACAAATCTCTTTCTCACATCCTCTGAGGTTGAATATTGAGTAACTTATGTTGTTAAAAAATAAAGGAAATTTTAAATCTTTTATTAGCTTTTCATCGGTGACTCTTTTAAATGTTTTTCCAATTCTTTTTAATCAGTTCAACTGAAGCAAGGTGATAATGTCCCTAAGATGCAAAGGGCTAATGGGAGTGAAAGAGAATGAGAAAACCTTAAACAGGAAACAAGGGATAAACCTATACTCTTGTCCAAAAAAACTGTGAGAGGGGGAGTGTAAACTGGACAATAGGCATACCTATCTATTCCTCTCGAGGAAAAAAACTAAGTGAATAAAATTTAAGAGTTTAGGTAAATGTGTTAGTAGTATAGTTGAATGAAGTAGACTTTAGAAAGAACTGAAATCTTAAACAGGAAACAAGGGATAAACCTCTACTCCTGTTCAAAAGACATGGGAGGAGTGTGAAACAATTGATAGGCAAACCTAGAGGATGGCGATTGTAATCCAGAAAGTGGATTTTGCGGACACTTTTGAAAAGTAAAAGGTACACTGAGCTAAGATAGCGTGTTCTGCAAAAAAATATTTTGCCTTTGGTCCCAGTAAACTATATCTTTTCGTAAAATTTAATGGCTGTATATTTCTGAATAAGAATCATAGACAAATCCATCTCGTTCTATTAAAGAGAAAAAATAATCTGTAAATAGAATTTCAGAGTTCAGGTAGTGACGTCGGATGTATAGTTGAAGTAGACTTTAGAATCAGATTAAACAGGAAACAAGGGATAAACCTCTACTCCTGTTCAAAAGACTGAATGAGAGGTGAACATGTCTACTGTCATCAATATAGATTAATTATTGGGGGGGGGGATCACTTTATTACTAGTAATAGAAAATCAGTCCTCTGCCTTTTTATGCTCAAGATAAGCCTATATTAATATGCTGGATTATGTTAATTCATTGGACATTTATTGATCAAACAGTTAAACTCTCAGTTGAAATCAGTCCACTGTTATCACACTTCCTAGTATCTTCCTAGTTTCCTTTCAAGCCTTTTGCTTTTAGTCATGTGGAAAGTTAACATTTGATTGTATCATTATTTTCTCTGCTAGTTACATGTGCTAACTATTCTGTTATTGCTGCTGTTGAAAGTGTCGACTTTTTTTTTTTTTTTTTTTTTTTTTTGGCAATGGTCTTCATTTGGGATTTTGTAGCCCTAATCCATTGGATTCGCTGAAGAATTGTCTTATTTAATATTTAAAGGATTAATTCATTTGATGCTCCAGATTTAGATCTCAATGAATCAAAATATATTGTTCTACCCACCAAGTCTGCTTATTACCACGTCACGGTGATATACCATTTCTTATATAATCACGGAAATTGTGCCATGTTGAGTTTGGTCAGTACTTAGATGGGTGACCACTTGGAAATAACAGGTGCTGTAAGCTGAGATGTACGGAGCATGTAATCATTATCTAAAAAGAAAAAAAAATTCTTGCACTCTAGAAAATATTTCCTGGCTTTAAATAACCTGCAATGAATTGATAAGACTTAATTAATACAAAACAAAATAATAAGCAAAAACTCTATCACCTGTAATGATTGCCACAAAGAATACATGGGAGAAACCTTAAGGAATTTAAACAAAAGAGTATATGCACAAAAATGGTATCTTTTACAAAACAACACACTTAACCCTTTGAGCTGTGTGTTCCTGAACAACTTTAACCCTTCTGTCTGAGATCCTGAGTCAAAATTCGCAAATAATTGGTATGTAATGTTTCATGGTAGATATAAAAATAGTTACAAGTGTTTACCCACTGTTCAACCGGTAGCTTGTCTTCAATTCATTTTTCTCTACCACTGATAAAGCCGTAGTCAGGTATGAAAAGGGTTAATGCATTAATTGCTCACCATAATGAGTCTGATCACAATTTTATTTAAAAAAAACCCCAAAAAACCTGCTACTTTAATTAAAAGAGAAAACAATTTATGAAATCAAATGTATAGCGTGATTTAAATGCTACATCATCCACAGTAAATTTATGTCCAGTTTCTTACATTTTATTTTTCTTGGCAGAAAATTTCTCTGACATTCAGGCCCGTAAATGTTGTTTAATACTGTTTATTATAAACAGAGCATTTACTTAAATATTTGTATCTATAAAAAGAACATATAAACATAAAAAAATGTCTTAAAATAATTGTTGGACTTTGTCCATTTCATAATATATATATATATATATATATATATTTTATATGCACAGTACTTAGTGGAAAGCGCTCAATATCATTGATAGAGCTAATATATTCAGGTGTATGGATATGAGTTTGTGACCCTTTTTACGTGTGTCTGTATGAAAGTGTCATCTCAAACAAACACAGAAGTAGATTTCTCCTCCCACCACTAAACGGTCGAACACACATAAATAAATCCAATTTTAAAAAGTAAACCAGTTTGTCTTATGATCGCAAATTGAACTTTTAAAAGGTTATCTTAAATATTAATGCAATACATAAATGCAGTGATTGATTTGAGTTCTGTCGTTTATTGTTGCATATAGCATCTCCTCCTCCATACCTATTGTGATGAAGGCCCTATCAAGAGCCCTCTGCAAGAACTAGCTAGATGCTGCCCAATAGGGCTGCTTTTAAGCAGATGAGACAAAGTGGAAAATTGTTAATCAACGACGTGCTTTGCCAGAGAAAAAAAGCCTAGCTTATGTTCTCTTTGGCGTCATCAGCTCAACTAAAAATTAACGTTTTTTTTTTTTTTTTCTTTTTCCCAGGAAAATTCGAAAAGAATTTGTAGATGATGAAGCCGAACTTTCAGGTATGTTTTGATTTTTCTTTATATCCTTCTTGTCCACGTGGTGCTTTGGGGTGCCTTCTGGATTAGACCACGAACCTACTCCCTATTGTTGCGATTCAAGATTTGGGCAGACATTGATTCTAGTGGAATTGTTTTTCTGCTTTGTTCGTATATATTACCAAAAGGCACAATGATTTAGTCTTCTCACTGCCCTTGCCGGGATTGCTTCAAATTGATTCAAGCCTCCTGAATAATATCTTTAACCAAAGCCTGCAAAAGCTCATGTATCTCTATTAAACTGTGTTTACCTTCCCTTTTCCCCGCTTGCTGACTGATGGAAAGCTTCCTTAATGAGGTATTAATGACCTTATCTCTTTGCTTATCTCTTTCCTCCATTTTTAGAAAATAACACCTCTTACTTATTTCCATGGAAACTACAAAAGATACAGGAAACGTTATTTTTGCACATTTTTTTGTGGATATGTTAATCATGCATTTTCAGTGATCAATTGCACTATATCCAGGTAAATGTTTTTCTGCAGGGATTAAAATTCATGCAAAAAAACTTTACACTGTACATGAGTATTATATGGTATATAAATATAAAATAAATATAAAGTAATATAAAAAATTTAAAATAAATATTATTGAACAACCAGTACATTTCTATTATGATTAATATTTCTTGATAATATTAAGTTTATCTCAATGTATATTTACTTTATTCAAAAAATGATATTTACTGAAATTTACTAATATAAAAAAAATATGAAATTTATATTTTAATTTTATATCATAATATTTCAGTTGGTACATAGTAACTTTTTTATTTATTAGGGTTATTTTTATATGACAGTTTAAATTATCCATGAGATAGTTGTCTTACACGTTAATGTGTAATAGTCATGCTGGGTTAGTGAGTTGACAGGCATTTTATGATTGATACTGACGTGTTGTGTTTACAGTCCAAGGGAGATAACTTATCATTAACCCATTGATTTCTATACTCTTATGAAAGAGATTTTAATTGTATAGTAGTTTCATGCGGTACCATCTGGCAGAATGAACGTTATCTGTCTCTCTGATTTTGTGCATTCATTTCATTTTTAAGACAATAACTGGCAATGAGAAGATTATAATGCTGAATTAAGTAACAAATTAATTAACAAACCTCACACACACACACACACACACACACACACAAAAAAAAGGAAAGTATTATGACCCCGGATTTTTCGTTAATACAAAAAAAAACAAAAAAAACACCCCAAAAAACTACTATGTCACTTCCAGGTTTTGAAAATTTCATTGTCCGTGGACAAGAACATACAGCCAGGACAAGATGGAAAAAAAAATGGATTTTCAAGCTGGATAACCTTTTTATAGCTCTGGATATAAACACCGACATATGTAAAAAAAAAAAAAAAAAAAAAAAAAACTCTTAAATTATGACGGTAATGACATAATGGAAATCTTTGATGCCATGACAGACACTACAGAAAGGCATTAATTCGATGTCAGAAGGCGGAAATCCAACACCGAATGAATATGATGTATTAAAAAGTCTTTCAATAAATCATTTCATACTGAAAATAAACACAGTTTATGAAAACTTTCAATTTTCGTCAGTTAAAACAAAAAGAAAAAAATGAAAGGGTGGGCCTGTACCACATTCGGTTATGCACAGCTGTGGCAAACTGCAGATTCCACAACATAGAAGATGAAATCCTGGGACAAATAATATTAGAATGCATGTCACAAAAACTTCGGTGAAAAGTTCTAAAAGACAATTTAACACTAACCCAGCTACTTGACGAGGCTCGGGGTATTGAACTCGCTGAAAGCCGTGTGGCCATGATAGAAAGCAGAACCAGCTCACCAAGTACTGAAGAAATACTAGCTATCCAAGGCCGAAACACACCCAAGTCAGGAAACTCAGAAACCAACCAACAGAGACCTCACTGCCCAGAATGTCACCATAACAGCACAAGGAGCTCTCATTTAAGGGCACAAAACACAAAACAGAAATTTACACACTCGCCAAAAAAATAACAACAAACGCTGCATTTTCTGCATTTCCCCACAACCTGACCCCAGATTGGATTGTCCTGCAAGTGGGGAAATGTGTAACAATTGTAAAAAAAATTGGGAGCTTTGCTCAGGCATGTTTATCTGGTTTGAAGGTAAGACAGATTCAGTTTTCACCTCCATCACACCCATCTCAATCCAAAAATGAATGGCTGTTCTCAGTCAATGTTCTCTCAGCACCATCTCCGTCAATAACCTTACCCAGAATTATGGCATCTATCAACAACAAAAAAAAATCATTATTATTGACACAGGTGCCTCAGTCAATATTATGGGAAAATCGGAATATGAATCACTTGGGCGTATGACACCCTTACTCAAAAAGCCGGTACCCCAAATTTATGCCTTTAACCAACATACTCCCCTTCCAGTTTGTGGATTTTTCAAAACAAAAATTAGCCACAAAACATCAGCAGTTGTGGCTATTTTTTATGTGTTAAAATACAAATGGATGTTCAAACTTGACGAGCAGTAAAACTGCTCAACAACTAAACCTAATCCATTCTTCGCTACAGACAGGCCAAAAGACATACCTGAACAATTCCCTCACTTATTTGATGGGAAAATGGGTTGCGTCAAGAACTGCAAAGTCACCCTCCACAATGACAGATCCATAACTTCAGTTGCTCAAACACATCGTCGTATTCCCTTCCATGTCCGAAAAGATGTAGAAAAGGAGTTAGAAAGATTGGAGAACCTGGACATTATTGAAAAGGTCGAAGGTCAAATACCATAGGTCAGCCCCATAGTTACTGTTCCTAAAACAGGTGGAGTGTGCCTTTGCATAGACATGTGGGAAGCAAATCGTACAATAACATGAATCAAACACCCAATGCCAACTATTGACGATCTGATAGCGGATTTGAATGGTGCAACAGTCTTTGGCAAATTTGACATGAGCAATGTATACCACCAATTAGAACTTGAAGCCAGCAGGTACATAATAACTTTCACCACACATGTAGGTCTCAGAAGATCCAAAAGACTGCTATTTGGAGTCAATGCAGCAGCTGAGTTATTCCAGAATGCCATATTAGAACTTCCGAGTGATATCTCATGAACAAAAAACCTGTCTGATGATATCATTGTATATGGAACAAACCAAAAAAGAACATGGTAAAAATCCGAGACACACTTTAAAGAGACTTGATGAAAGTGGGGCCAAACTTAACAAAGAAAAATATCTCTTTGTTAAAACATTAAAATTCTGTGGCCATGTATTTGGAGAGAATGGGATCTCTCCAGATTCAGTGACTATCTGTGACGCTCCTCCACCAGCATTATTGACTGAAATCTGGTCATTCCACAATATGTTACCAGATTCATCCCAGGAAGAACCACCATCACAGAACCTCTAAGGAATCTGATAAAAAAAGTCCACAGTCTGTAAATGGGTGGGGGGAGCAAATAAAATACTTTCAATAAGCTGAAGGAGACACTCACCAGTAGTAAGGTGATGTCATATTTTGACCCCCACAAACCAACAGAAATCTGGTGGATGCCAGCCCTTTAGGACTAGGAGCAATTCTTATGCAAGAAGGTCACCCCATCTGCTATGCAAGTAGAGCTCTAACAGAAACAGAACAAAATACTCCCAGACTGATAGAGAATACCTAGAAATTGTATATGGAGTGAGTTGAGCATTTCGACCTTTATCTGTTTGGGGCACATTTTACAGTTACCACAGGCCATTCATAGGAATAATGTTGTCCTGGGTATGACTATAAACTACATCTGCGTCCTGGGTAAGATGATAAACTACGTCCAGGAGCAAGGCCTCTGATCAGGAGGTTTTGAGGAGTGTGGAACCACCTCTTAATTGCTGGTGTTCCCAGGTCCACCCCGAGCTTGGGTAGTAGCACCTGTTAGGGTCCTAGCTGTAGGCAAATAGTTAACTCCCAAACTGGGGCCAAAATAATCAAAATGTAAAAATAGTTTTAATACCAGAAATACTTTGTAAAAAAAAAAAATATTAATAGCTATACCTTATTTTTGTAGGAAAATAATATTACCAGCAATAAAAATTGTCAGCATTAAATAACTCATTGTGGTTGATATGTCGTAAAACAAACCAAACCTAATCATAGGAATAATGAACAGAAAAAAAACCCACCATAGCCAGGCTAGAGAGATGGCACCTACGCCATACAGCATGGATCTGATATACAGACCTGGACGCAATGAAAATAACCCTACTGACTACATCAGCAGACATCCCCACGAAATACAGAAGCATGACAATGCAGGAGAAGCATATATTGCATATATAGCAATGAATGCAATCCCCAAATCTCTGACTTTGACAGAAGTAAAGTCTGCAACTGGGAAAGACCTACAGCTCCAAAAAGTAATGCAAGCTATACAAAATGGCCACTGGATAGACCCAGACATAAAGGACTTTAAAAAATTCAATGATGAGTTGTCCATCTATGATAGGCTTATCCTCAGGCAAAACTGGGTAATCACACCTGAAACAGCGTCGGAAGACTATAACTATTGCCCACCAGGCCCACAAAGGCATAATCAAAACGAAACAATGTATCAGAGAAAAGGTGTGGTTTTTATAGGCATTGATAGGTTTGTAGAGGATACAGTAAAATCCTGCATACCATGCCTGGCATCTCATCCAGGCTGCAGCCAACGTGAACCCCTACAGCCCACACCACTACCACCAGAACCATGGAGGTCCCTTGCAATTGATCTTGCTAGCCCTTTTCCCTCAGGTCACTACTTTACTTGTAGTCATAGATGAATACAGCCGTTTCCCTGAGTTAGAAATAATCTCATCCACCTCAACAAGAGCAGTCCTGTCAAGACTTGAAGCCATCTTCTCACGTCAAGGAATCCCTACCTCAATCAAGACAGACATTGGTCCTCCATTTAATGGGGAAGAGTTTTCTGAAGCTATGCAAGAGATCGGGATACAACACAGAAAAATAACACCTCTCTGGCTAGAGGCAAATGGGGAGGTGGAATGTTTCAATGCAAAAAAATTATGTCATGTGTAACTGAAGGTGCACACTCATGGAAATCTCAACTACCCACATTTCTTTGTATGTATAGGGGCACCCTCCCCCATACTTTGACAAAAATGTCCCCATTTAAGGCTCTCACAGATAGGAAAATGAAAATCGGCTTACCTAGCATACCATCTCAAGCCCCAACCCGAAACAACACACATGAAAAACAAAAAAAAATCTGTGAAAATGATTACATCACTAAACAGATGTGTGAATGGAAAAGAAAAACCTGTCTCCCAACACTTTAACCTGGCAACGTTGTCCTAGTAAAACAACAACAACAACAAAAAAACAAACTAAAACCACCCTTCCTCCCTAGTTACGTAATAACTAAAACCACCCTTCCTCCCTAGTTACGTAATAACTAAAACCACCCTTCCTCCCTAGTTACGTAATAACTAAAACGACCCTTTTCCTCCCCTGCCTTACACAATAACTAAAACGACCCTTTTCTCTCCCCTGCCTTACACAATAACTAAAACGACCCTTTTCTCTCCCCTGCCTTACACAATAACTAAAACGACCCTTTTCTCTCCCCTGCCTTACACAATAACTAAAACGACCCTTTTCTCTCCCTGCCTTACACAATAACTAAAACGACCCTTTTCTCTCCCCTGCCTTACACGATAACTAAAACGACCCTTTTCTCTCCCCTGCCTTATACAATAACTAAAACGACCCTTTTCTCTCCCCTGCCTTATACAATAACTAAAACGACCCTTTTCTCTCCCCTGCCTTACACGATAACTAAAACGACCCTTTTCTCTCCCCTGCCTTACACAATAACTAAAACGACCCTTTTCTCTCCCCTGCCTTACACAATAACTAAAACGACCCTTTTCTCTCCCCTGCCTTACACAATAACTTAAACCACCCTTTTCCTCCATGCCTTACATAATAACACAAAAGAAAGGCAGTATGATAACATAACGTGGCCAAAATAGCATTACACGGAACTCATCTCATTTTAAACCCATAAAAGGTTTATCACCTGCTTGTTTGGAAGGAGAAAATAATGGCACAATAGATGCTGACAGTTCTTGCCATTCAGCCCACATACTGTTTTCAGCTGAAACATGTATTGACACCACACCTACATCATCACCAATCATCACCCCTTTGCTGGAAACAGATCTCCTCACCTGAAACCCGTAGGTTTGTCCCAAGACTACACTCCAGACCACAACGCCAAAGAAAACCCCCTTACTTACCTAAAGGACTATATAATTTGAAACCCTTATCTAAAGTAAGGGAGGATTGTTGTGTTTACAGTCCAAGGGAAATAACTTACCATTAACCCTTTGATTTCTATACTCTTATGAAAAACGAGATTTTAATTGTATAGTAGTTTCCTGTTGTACCCGCTGGGCAGAATAAATGTTGTTATCCATCTCTCCGATTTTGTGCATTCATTTTTAAGACACAATAGCATGGCTATATTATTTTCTTTTATCTTTTTTTGTTTCAGGAAGTGAATTCGATAGTGATGAAAATGATAATCTGAATGATGAGTTTGATGTAATGGATGAAGAAGAAGGGGATCAGGATGTGAACTTAACTGAAGATCAACTTCGGAATCAAGTGGGACGAGTGCATTTGTAAGATTCTGCCTACTTTTTATTTATGTTGAATAATTTCCTGTCTACGGTTTTAACATTTTTAGTGTCTGTTTTTCTACTCTTGTCGTGTGTGTGTGTGTATGTATATATATATATATATATATATATATATATATATATATATATATATATATATATATAGTGGCAGTTGACTTGTTATCACACAAGATTCTTGCTTATTCGGTATATAGTGCCTAGAAAATTTAACAGGGAATCAATGGATTGTTAAAGACCTGGCATGACAATGAAGATGACTTCTAAATCTTTCTCTCATATATATATATATATAATATTAGTGGTAAATATACACATACATATGCAAAATATATAAATATATATACATAGATGCATACACATACATATATATTTTTTGAATAGAAAATTCCAAGAGGATAGAATCCAGGTAGAACTCAATGTCCAGGACAGAGTAAGGATATAATAAAAAGGCTTAAACACTAATATTCGATGGTCATAATTTATTCCATTGGAATCGTAAATACGATCCAGTTCATCAGACCGACAAATTCAAAAAGAAAACAACTTCGGAAATAAAAATAGAATTTAGAGAGAGTGTAAGTATGAGAGTGTGGGACGAATGTTAGAGCTAAAGAGAGGGGTAACAGACGAGAGAAGGTGGGAGATTAAAACTTAACAGAGAGAAGTTTTAGAGAGGTGAGTTGAAGACAGTTTAAGTGAGAGAAATATGAATGTTGTCGGATGTCTAATACATTAAGGATGTAAACAGAAAGGATACATTTTGTGGTGACATACACACACAATAGATGATCTAATCTTAAAGATCAGAGGGAGGGAGAGGAAAAGAAAAGAAAAAGGGGTGGTGGAGGGAGATGGGGCGAGGGGAAACTAAAACTGAAGGGCATTTACTGAAAGGGCCGCTGTGCAATTAAGTAAATTTGACAAAATTAATATCGACTACAGGTTACAAATCAAATATAAACATATAAAAAATAAATATAACGATTATCTGATCTAGCAAGGACATATATTTTTATATTCAAAAACACATGCGTATACACACATACACAATAACATATACACATACATACATACATGCATATAGGCGTACCCACATACACACACACACATATATATATATATATACACACACACACACATATATATATATATATATATATATATATATATATAAAGATTAAAACGATAACATGTAAAAAATTAAATGCTATGGACAGTGTAATTATACTCCGTTTGTTCTTATACCTGCTGATATATATATATATATATATATATATATATATATATAAAAATTATGCAATGATCAGTTTTCAATCGTCACCTGACAATTACATTGTGCATTAAACTGTGTTTTGCTACCGTTTTTGTTTTTTTGGTGTTTGGGAGATATATATATATATATATAATCTATATATATATATATACTTGGGCAGTAATCTTTTAAACATCTTTTGTTAAATATAGCAGACAAAAAAATTTTAATGATTTTTTTTTTTTTTGTTTTTGTTTTTGTTTTTTCACCCTTATATTTTTTCATAAAAATTATGAATGCTGGAAAATCTAAAAAAAAATTAAATTTTCCTTATTTGCCACATTTGATGAAAGATGTTTTTAAGCAATTAATGGATAAAATTATGTACAAAAAATATTTAGATTTCAGCATTAAATAACCCATAGTGGTGTTAGAAGAAAGGCCAAGCCTAGTGGCCAATGTCTGGACAGAGAAAGATGAAAAAAGCTGTTGCAGCTTCCTTTTATTCACTCTTGCAAGCATTTCTCATTGGTCCCTCAGTAGCCTAACATGATGTCTATTTTGGGAAATAAGTGTGGCATGCAGATTTTAATTTGCACTAAACTCCACAATTGCTTCTGTTGATCCATGTTTGTTTTAGTAAAAATATGGAAAATTATCATTTTTAATATAAAATATGAAAATTTGCAAGCTAATTTCACAGCTTGTGACACAAAAATTGCAATATGGAGACCAAATCACTGTAGAAAGATTTGACTTTGCTGAATCTTGAAAATAAACGGTCAAATGTTACTTTTATTTATTCATTTATTTTGCTTTGTAGGAAAAACATGATTGATGAGGACAAGCGAGAAGTGATGCGTTTACAGGAAATGTATCTTCCTGATGGGGACCTTTTTTCTGAAGGTCATGGCAGGACAAGGCGATTCCGATGGAAGAATTTAGGTGAGTTTCAGTTTTGGAATTTTTATTTTCTACTAACAAAATAGGATAATCTTTAACCTTTGTGCCATTTTTTTGTAGGCACGAAAGTTAAAGATTGCGCAAAATAGTAAATATTACATTGAGTCATACGTACTGCAATTTCTTGAAAATATTATGCATTTTTTTTTTTTTTTTTTTTTTTTTGTAAATTACAGGTGATAGGTGTGCGTATTACAAATAGGTTTAAACAAAAATATTTCTTTTGTTATTGATTTATTAAATATGTACTTGTTCTAAAATAAAGATATTATCCCAATTTTCATTTTAAATCCAACAACAATAACTGTAACTTTTTCTGTCAGTAAATTTATGTTTATCAGTAACTGCATTTTTTATTTGGTGAAAAAATCAAAAAAAATCTATAAAATGACCAATTTCGAAGAAAAGAAGATATTAAGTTAACAGTTTATTGAAATTTTAATTTTCATCATCTTCACTTTCTATTATAGAATCAATATCTAAATTGTCATTAAACAAATTATCATTCATGGTATAATCTTCGTCCTGTTCAAAATTATCTTCGGCCTCTTCACTCTCTTGCCAAAGGATGTCATCTTCAGAGCCATCCATGGTTGTTGGGAGACAATACTTCTTGTTATATTAATCAGGAAAACTGCATCGTAATTTTCAACATTATTTTTAACTGCTTAGTTTCGATTTTATTCTTAATGTCAAGGTCAACAAAATGTCATATATATATATATATATATATATATATATATATATATATATATATATATATATATATTTTTTTTTTTTTTTTTTTTTGATAAAATTTATAGATGCGTATTATACATAGGGATAGATATATTTCTTAATTTTTAGATCATTTGTTGGGGTGTGTATTATTTTCAAGAAATTATGGTAATTTCTGTTTTTGGGAACCAATTGTAATGACAAATGTATCATCCTAACTACTCATCATATGTGGCAGTTAAGAATTAATTTGGAGTTTTGCATGGCAGTGGCAGCATACATAGGGGATTAACCTCTTCCCTGCCAATTATCTTTGGGGAAAACATTTCAGTTTCTGACAAATTTTTTTTATTTGTTTTTGATGTATTAACTAAGAAACTGAGGCACCTTGACATACTCATGTGATGGCTAACATCTGTACCAGATGTAGGAGTTGACAATTGGACTTGTTTCAAGATGACACGGGCATAAAAAGAATCAAGATTGTTGTATAAACATGTCTTACTGGTTTTTGAACATTATGCTTGGGATGTGTTTATTTGTGTGTGCCTGAAAAAGATACTTTTGGTGAAAATGTATATGCACGTCTATGCCAGGGAAGGGGTTAAAGGGAAAACTTTGCCCTCTTCTATGACAATAGTAAATTGCATACAGCAAGAATAATGCAGGAAAATGCTTTGAAACTAGGTTGGTCTGTTTTATTCCACCTGCCATATTCATCTATTTTTTTTTTTTTATTTATTTATTTTATTAGAGAAAGTTTTCCCTATCAAAGCATTTTGCAATGACTGAAAAAGAAGATAATCAGTTGGTGCAATCATCAGTTGGTGAATGAAACATTGACTATTGAGATATAAAGCAAATGGTGATGATTCGTCCCAGGGGATGTGGCATGGTTAGGGTCATCACCATTTCCTTCATATCTCAATAGTAAGAAGGATGTTTCATTCATGAACTGATGATTGCACCAACTGATTATCTTCTTTTTCAGTCATTGCAAAATTGCTTTGATAGGAAAACTTTCTCTAATAAAAAAAAAAAAAAAAGTTCAAAGTTTGTTGAAATTTTTTTACATCAAAACCTGCAGAATTTTATTCAAAAGTTATCAAAGACCTACCTGCTAATTGGCAACAAGTCATTATAAATAGTTAATGTATCAAATAAAATGTAATTGTATTTATTGTTAAGAATAAAACTGATAACCAATATGGAAATTATTTAGGGCACAGACTAATACATGCTGCATTTTTTCTTATAAAATATCGCCCATTTGTGTCTTATAAATCAAAGGTTAGTGACAGGGGTCTAATTATTACATTCTAAATAGTTATCATAAATTTGGTACTTCTCGGTCTGTAATAAATTTGTTATGATTAGTCAGGTTTTCATACTAAAATATGCTATTCAGTGTGTAAAACTGGGGATAGTGGGGAGGGCTATGAATACACTTTTTTCCCAATTTCTTCCTTCCAAATTGGGGGAGAGTGTCTTATGCATCGGAGCATCTTAATCAGCGAAATATGTTACTTATCAATCTGCTTATGGTGTTGTATAACGCCCTGGTGGAGGTGCTTTCATCTCAGCTGACAATCGCTAATTGTTTTGGTTCAGCAATGAAAGACTTCAAACACAGAATGTTAACTATTTTTATTAATCATGTTGACATGTGCATTGACTATCCAGTGGGTTGAATAACTGGGGAGCTGTTTCAGACACAAAAGAGAACACGTCTACATTGCTTGACGGGTAAGAACCAATATCTCTTTCCCAAGCTTGCTCAGCCAATCAGAATTGACTTCCTTATTATGGCTTACATCTGACCCCAAATGTCAACCTCCGGAAGTCGGAGCTGCGATACACTTCTAAAAATAATAGTCTGCTAAACTATTATTTAACAATAGTTGCAAAATGTATAAATACAGGGTTGCTCAGCTCTTTGAGGACATTTGCATGAATTTAGTAAAAGGCACAAAAGCCATGAAAGAAGAGCTTAATTTGAGACAAAATTGGCATGAATAATCTTGCAATTCTTCTTGATGCCTCTACTTAAGGAATCTGCTGAAGACTGCTTCAATACAATATCTAAAATATTGATAAATCGGAAGTTCTTTGTTTAGCAGCATATCAACACATTATGGGACATTTAATGCCAAAATTTAATTTTCTTTGGAACATTTAGTAATTTCTTTTCTAAAATATATTGCTGGCATTTATACTATAATAATTTATTTTTATACTTTCATAGTGTTCAGAAATGCTGTTGTGTTAATTATGGCAGACTTGAGAGATTTTATAGTGTTATGAGGTTGTTGATTCATTTCCCTCTCTACCATATCCCATATGTAGTAGTCCAACGAATTCTGGTCCGGAGAGCTAGCAGCCCATATGTTTGGAGTGATCTTATTCTGGAGATAACTCTTCCATTCTTGAGACAACTTGGCTTTTCAAACTTTGACGATAAATAACTGTGCAATTTTCCGGAAGTGAGCAATCTTGAAATCTCTGTGCTTGGCAATGGTTACAGGGTGCTTTTTCCAGGGTAGTGGAGTTGGAGTTGGAAGCAATTGTATCTGTGTGTTTGCTTCTCTCTCTCCCTCTCTCTGCCTGTCTCCCCTCTCTCTGCCTGTCTCCCCCTCTGCCCCCTGTCTCCCCCTCTGCCTCTCCCCCCTCTCTCTCTCTCTGTCTCCCCCCTCTCTCTCTCCCTGCCCTCTCTCCCTGTCTCCCCTCTCTCTCTCTCTCTGCCCCTGCCTCTCTCTCTGTCTCCCCTCTCTCTCTCCCTGTCTCCCCTCTCTCCCCTCCTGTCTCCCCCTCTCTCTCTCTGCCTGTCTCCTCTCTGCCTGTCTCCCCCTCTCTGCCTGTCTCCCCCTCCTCTCCTGTCTCTCTCCCCTCTCTCTCTCTGCCTGTCTCCCCCTCTCTCTCTGCCTGTCCCCCCTCTCTCTCTGCCGTCTCCCTCCCCCTCTCTCTGCCTGTCTCCCCCCTGCTCTCTCGCCCCCCTCTCTCTCTCTCTGCCTGTCTCCCCCTCTCTCTCTCTGCCTGTCTCCCCCTCTGCCTGTCTCCCCCTCTCTCTGCCTGTCTCCCCTCTCTCTCTGCCTGTCTCCTGTCTCCCCTCTCTCTCTGCCTGTCTCCCCCCTCTCTCTCTGCCTGCCTCCCCTGCCTGTCTCCCCCCTCTCCTCTGCCTGTCTCCTGCCTGCCTGCCTCCCCCCTCTCTGCCTGCCTGCCTGCCCCCCCCTATCTCTGCCTGCCTGCCTCCCCCCCCCCCCCCCTCATAATGTTGCATAAGGCTGTGTTGGACTGGACTGTTTCCAAAATTGAAATGGAAATTTGCAAAGTGTTATTATTATTTTTAATAAATCTTTTTAAATGTTTTTGTTTTATTTAATTTCTTTTTAGATGATAATTCACAGCAAGACATGTTTAACACTGAGTCAGAAACTGAAGAGAAAGAGGAAGAAGAACCTGATGAATTGAAATGGCGAATCGAGAGATTTGAACGCGAAAAATGGATAAATGAACAAGAAGTAAACATTGAATATTTACTTTAACTTTTATTATTCCAATTTCTACTTAGAAGTGAAAGTTTTTTTGCTTTTTGTATAACAAATTTATGCTCGATTTGTCAATGTTTAACGTACATGTCCATAAAGAACAGTGTGTCAGATGATGGTTATTTCCTTAACACTGATAACATCAAGAAGTCTGCAGTAATATCAGTCTGGGCAAGGGCAATCCCAGCATGCAGCACTTTGGAAGGTGTTTGAAAACCACGCCATGGGTTGACCCAAGCCTTGTGAGTTAAAGTGGGTAGACTAAACTTTTCAGGAGCTGTTGATAGTAGTTTTAGCATAGTCACAAGTCATCGTGTTTGAGTGTGCTGGCCTTGTTCAGACTGTTGTTGCCGCTAGATAATGCACCCTCTCCCAGAAACTGTAACTAAGGTCTGCCCAGCATGGTTGCAGTATAAACTGCAGGTGGGCTTTGTGGGTGTTGAACAAACACCAATGTGTTCGAGCAGGCTCCTGTAATAGGGATTAGCTAGCTGCCCTAGGCATCCTTGGATAAGAACAGCCAACCATTTTTTGACTTGTGGACTTTGAAAAAAATTAAAACATGTTTTTTTTTTTTTTTTTTCTTCAGGTGCAAGAAAAGAAACATGAAGAAGAGAGTTCATTTTTCAAGTTTGGAAGAATTTTTTTAAAGAAAAAAAAAAAAAAAAAAGTTTTTTTTTTTTTTAATTTCTAAGACTGAGTAATTTCATAATTCTATACCGTTTTTTAAATAAAAGTATTTTTCTTTCCTCAAAAGAACATCACAGGCAAAGAAAAAAAAAGAGCATTATCCTACCAGAATATATATATATATATATATATATATACACACACACACACACACATATATATATATATATATATATATATATATATATATATATATATATATATATATACATTGATTAGGTAACTTGTATAGGTAACTTATTAATAGAATTGGCATGTAAGGTAATTAAGAAATAATTTATTCTTGAAAAAAAAAATTAATTTCATTTAACTTTTTTCTTTTTGTTCAGATGTTCTAGAAAAATGTATTAAATAACTTAGGAAGCTCATTGAATTTATTAGTCATGCTGTTGGGTGTGACAGCCTGGCTCCCTCATTGTTTCTTTTATTTACTTGTTATTCCAGGCACATCTGGCCAGAATGGTTCCAAGAAATTACATTTAAATGATACAGGATCACCAAAACAAAGTAAATTAAACATGTTCAAGGTAAGTTTTGTCAAAATATATGTAGAACATTTTTTTTTTATACAGAAGAAAACACTTCTGTCTAGATATTTTTTCTACATTGTAAATTTTTCTCTCATTGTTAATGCAAATGTTGAATCTTCTGTTTTCTTAAATCTTTTTCAGAACTTCAAAAAAGGTTCCTTTCTGAGTCGCAGCAGTGACAGTTTGGCTAAAATTGCAGAAATGACGAAACCTCTTAGCAATGTGCCTGTTACAAATGTAACCAACGGACGAAATTTTGTTTTTTCTGTGGTCACCCCAACAGAGACGGAGACGGAGACCCCGGTAAGACTTCATCTTCTTTGGTCTTGTGCCTATTTATTTGGCAAGAGATATCTAGTTGGTTAGAATATTCATGTCTGTCTCCCCCCTCTCTCTGTCTCCACCCTCTCTCTGTCTCCCCCCACTCTCTGTCTTTCATGATGAGTTTGGTGCCATGCAAGATATCGATATGAAAATCTAAATCTAACAATTGTAATTAAGGATATGAGTTTTCAAAGTCTGTCTATATTTCTGAGATGAGGTATTATGTACATTATTTACATTATTCGGACTATTGTCCTTATCTTTGTTGCCATATTTATCACAGTTTCGGCCGTTGTATGCTCCGGCCTTCTTCAGGTGGTTGGAATGTCGAACTGAACCCTTTATTTCGCTCATTGGGGTAGTTTCATGGATGTCAGTTATCAGTTATCCCCTGTTAATTCCCCTCTCCAAGTTCTCCACTGCCTTAACTGGGTATTGAACTCACACTCTTTGGGTCCTGTCACTGGATCTAACCAACGCCTTTATCCACAGTGCCATTTGTCCTCAGAAAACAGTCTGCCTGCCTTATGTGAAGGGGTTGTCAGAGAAAATACAAAGGATCTGCGGTCCATATAACATCAGTACAACCTTCAAAAGCTTGACGACACTTCGCAGATATTTCTCCTGAGTAAGACCCCCCATAGAGGAGAACATGACTAAAGACTGTGGTGAAAAGAAATATAAAGGGGAGACAGGCCGACCCCCTTATGGTAAGGCTTCAAGAACACCAGAAAGCTATAACACGAGGGGAAGTGGAAAAATCAGGCGTGGCTGACTACATATGGAGAGAGATGGGAGATCACCGCCCTCTGTGGGATCAGATTGAGATCATAGACAAGGAACACCATTGAAAAATTTGTAAACTTAAGGAATCAGCACATATGCTAGGCCACAAAAATCTCCTGAGCCGACCAAGCATAGAAATGAATACAATATGGGAACCAGTAATAAGGAGTGCCAGAGAAAAGCAATGAATAACAACAAAAGTTGCAATATGAGCACTGGTAAAAATGGTTGCTGAGACATTAGGTTTATAATACCCAGAAATTCATACACAGATGTCATCAAGGACACATGGCACAGTAGATAAAGGCATTTGTTAGCACCAGTGACAGGACCCAAAGAGTATGAGTTCAATACCCGGTTAAGGCAGTGGAGAACTTTGAGAGGGAAATTAACAGGAGATAACTGACATCCATTAAACATGGCAAGAAATAAAGGGTTCAGTTCGACATTCCAACCACTTGAAGAAGGCCGTAGCGTACAACAGACGAAACGTAGTGATAAATATGGCGACAAAGATGAGGACAATAGTCTGAATAATGTAAATAATGTTGAATTCTTCTTCTTTTAGACTAATTGTCATTTGAGAGCCCAATCTACCTTGCTATTTAACCCAAAACTCTGGGCAGAAGAGATGGAATCATGCTGTTCTGAGGGCACTAGTATGAAAGTTTATAGAGTTGAGATTATACTCTGCTTACTCATTCAACTTCCCACGTTGCTAACTTTTATGCTGCCAACATTTCAGCCATTTTCTGACCACAACTGACCAAGATTAAAGTTGGCAAATAATTTGGTTGCTTTGACCTCATAAGTATATGGATTTTCTGTTTAATGGAAATACCAAATGAACAATTATTTTTTTTTTTTTTTTTTTTTTTTTTAATGTCTGTTTTTCCTGTCTTTTGCCAATTTTTGTCCAGGTTCCTCATGAATTCCAAAATATCAGATCACTTCTAAATGTGGTAAGAAAAGATGTAAACTTCAATGTTCGTTAAATCATTTACTGTTTGGTTTTTAATCAAGTTAACTCTCTTGTTGTTTTTTCTGTTGGCAAAGTTTAACACTCATACCTGGGGGAGGGTGGTGGTGGTGCTGGTTGAAGGAATAATATTTCTCTTGACACCTGCTACTATTGGATATGTTTCCTGACAGTTTTTATTATTTCAAAAATCTAAGTTTTAGAATTTTAATAAAACTCCAGCATATGAAACTGAATTTATACATTTTCTTTTTTTTTGTGAAGTAACGGCAAGCCATAGCAAAAAAAAAGACTGGGGAGGGGTCACAAAAAATATATATTACTTTAAAATGGCCGTACGAATCTAATCATGTAATGGCCGACGGAATCTAATCATGAAATGGCCGTGCAAATATAAATAATAATTAAAAACAAGGATTTATTTATGAGAATAATTTTATATTTAGAAAATTATAAAAATGTGAATGAAGTACAATGCTATAAAGAACCATGAAAGCAACTATGTTATACACTGTGTGCCAAATTATTATTGAGATATCTTTTTTCTAATATTTCAAAAACCTTCCAATCAATTCACACAAACTTTTCACTCAATGTTGGCAACACTGACCTGCGCAATCACTGAAATTTTCAACCTGATCTGCGCAATGTAAACAAACTGGCGCCATATTTGTTATCAGCACGGTGATTTGAGCGTGCCAAATTATTAGAAAAGTGTAAGAATTTAGTAAAAAGATGGGCCATAAAAGCAGTTTAACTAATGCTAAAAAGAAAACTAACACCTCAGAACTCTCAAAAGGTAAATCTACCCTAGAAATTTCTAAAATGATAGGGAGGTGTCATCAAACAGCGAAAATTTCACAGCCAACCCTACACAAGTACGCAAAAGGGCAGATAAAGGCAAGGCAAGGGTTATTTCACGTCGTCTCATGTCACGACTTAAACGAGAGGCCACAAAGAACCCCGGACTTACCAGTCAAGAGCTTTTCAGTCGCATTGGGGATCCTACTGTGTCTAAAAATACTCGGTGTCAGTATCTGAGAGAAATATCAACAACAGTGAAACCTGTATCGAAGCCTCTGTTGACGAGAAATCACATTCAAAATTGATTGAAATGGGCCAAGGACAATATGAAGATTGACTTCTCTAAAGTTTTGTTCACAGACGAAATTCGAGCAACACTTGATGGGCCAGATAGATGGTGCAAAGGCTGGGTAATGAACGGACAGAATCGCCATCAGCATTTGAGACGCCAACAAGGCGGTGGGGCATAATGATCTGGGGTGGTATTATTGGAAAAACATTAGTGGGCCCATGGAGAGTACCAGATGGCATCAAAATGACTGCTGATGCATACATAGCATTTATGAAGGAGTCGTGGATGAAAAGGCAAAGAGTTGCCTTCAGAAGGGCCATTGTTTTTATGCAAGATAATGCTCCCTCACATGCTGCTCACAAGACTACTGAATATTTGAAACAGTTAGGCTTCGATGGACCTCGAAAAATGAAGTGGCCAGCAAATTCTCCTGATTTGAACCCAATCAAAAACCTTTGGAGCATCATGACGCGAAGACTGTATGCCAACGAGCGACAATTCAGGAGCAACGCTGAGTTGTGGGAAGCAATTCTTGACATATCTCGTGGCATTACAGCAGATGACATCCTACAATTAACAAATTCTATGGATCGTCGCCTTCTTCAAGTAATTTCAAAACAGGGAAAGTACATTCCCTATTAATTTGTTTAAAACTGTGCCTTTCTTTGTATCTGCTATTATTTGTTTGATTATCTTATTTATTAGCTTCTTTTGATCATAAACATTCACGTGCAACATTAATAAACGTTTTGTTTGCTCAATTCTGAGAATGTTTACTAAACCTTTCTAATAATTTGGCAAGCTCAAATCACCGTGCTGATAACAAATATGGCGCCACTTTCTTTACATTGTGCAGATCAGGTTGAAAATTTCAGTGATTGTGCAGATCAGTGTTGCCAACATTGTGTGAAAATTTTGTGTGAATTGATTGGACGTTTTTTGAAATATTAGAAAAAAGATATCTCGATAATAATTTGGCATGAAGTGTACATTCCTTCTCGGATTTTTTTTTTTTTTTTTTTATTTCATTTCATTTCAGATTACTTGTTTTAATTATCTATACAAAGATTTTGTCTGCCTATTATATGTTCATTTTAAAAATGGGAAATAATTTTTATTTAAATTTTTTGTCTTATATTTCAGACATTTTTATAAATTTATGAATAAAAAAAAATGTTTTCTTAATTATTTTTTTTCTTCATAATATGGTAAATAATGAATATTGCATCATTGTTGGTTTGCATATTTTTATATCTGAACCAATAACGAATCTTGTGAATATAAATTATTCTTGTAAATAAACAATCTAATAAACAGTTTTTAATAGTTTTGAAAGGATTTGGTTCCTAATTCTAACAAATATCACCTGAAGAAGGCTGGAACATACAAAGGCTGAAACATCATGTGACGACAACAGTCTAAACAATGTAAATAGTAAAAATACCTAATCTCAGAAATTTTGTCAGATGTTTAATAGTTTTGTTGTTAATTCTTGAGAAAAAAGAAAATCTATAAATCCAGTTTCATATATTTGTGTTTTATTAAAATTCTAAAATTAGTTTTTTAAAACAATTAAAATTGCCAAAGGGGTATAAAGTAATAACGGTGTCAAGAGAAAAAAAAAGTTTTTTTTGTTTGATGCACTTATTTTTTTTTATTCATTTTTTTTTTTTTTCATTTTTTTTTTTATTCATTTTTTTTTTTATTCATTTTTTTTTTTTTTTTTTTTTTTTTTTTTTTTTTTTTTTTTTTTTTTTTTTTTATTTTTATTTGATTTTTTTTTTTTTTTTTCCAGTTTTTGTTAAACTTTGCCTCTTTGTTATTACTAAATTTAACATTTAACCTATAGAACCTGTCATGTTCAATTCATATACTTGTATCGTACTGAGAACTTTTCAGCTCATTTTGTAATATGACAGTACTACAACAACAATTGGAATTATTTTGGTCTTTTATCTTTTTTTCAATTATGACTACAGGCAGGACTCATGTCATTTCTTCAGTGTTGGTTTTTTTTTTCCAATTTGGGAATACAATATCAAATAAGGTTTTATTAATATTGGGTGGATAGTATATTGATGGAATATCATTATTTTTCCAGAAGGTGGGAAAGAAAAC